AGTAAAAAAATGTGGTTATTTGACACTTTCGTTACTGAAACAGTTTTGACTACATCAAACTGTTCTTTCAGTTGTTGTTGACTAGCTGTTTCTGTTTTCTTTGTAATTTTTTAGAATCAGATCTTAAAAAAATTAGTTTCAAAAGGGGAGAATTATATAAATGCAGATGTATATTGCAAACTTAGTTTTTTTTTCAGAAGTTGTATTAAATAGTTTAGTTGGAGTTATTACAAAGAATCAGATTGCGGTCAAAGTGTCAAAGTACCACATTTTTTTTCTTGTTTAATTTGTCATAATACCTGTTTTTTAAGCAATAAATTTAAGTAGCTTTGACCATGTTTTCAAATCAGAAATAAAAACATCTTCAAATATACGTAAATTTATTACTTATAAAACATTAGTTTCATATTTATCAAACTTCATTTAATAAACTTAAAAAACAAAGACTCCAAAACAAATAGCACTATTTATTCCGCACTCAGAAAGAAGTTCGAGAAACAAAAGTAATATACAAATTTAAAAAATTAAAAACTCCAAAAAAATTCAAATTTATCAGTTATTATGTTATAATCATTCACATCAAATATGTTCGCCCTGATTTTGTTGTTGTGACTTTGATTACTGCAATTAAACTCGACAATAGTATCCAACAGATATCATCTCTCTGTGGCCAAATGAATTTTTGGGAAGGGCCGTGAGGGTGCATAAACTTAATTTGAATATCATTTGTAATAACATCTATCTCTGTAACCATGCCTATTCACGAAAAGGAATCGTACTTGCATGCAACAAAATCTTTTAGATTTGGTACAACAACAACATCAGACTTTACTGTTTTTGACAGTACAAATCTGTCAACACATTGATGTTCGCTTGTTCTTTTAAAACTAATTTCAAATTTTGAAATGGGTATGTAATGATGATAACATTTGGTACCTGGAACAGTTTTTCCTGTTTCAAATCGCCTCTTTAGTTGCTGTCTCCTTGCATTAACTGTTTCTTTGGAAATTTTATAAAATATGATTGTGTTTATATTGGTGATGCAAAACTCAAGCATATCATTAACTGTCAATATTTGATTTTCCCTTTGCAAACTTGCTCTTGCTGTTTATCTTTTAACGATACCACCTATACTGTCACACATGGATTTTCCACGGCTGGTTGCAAAAAATTCAGCTGTAATTACGAAATCTTCCTTATGGTGGCATAGATTTATAAAGTTTTTATAGTTTTTATAATGAGCAGAAGATGTATCAGAAAAATAATACATTTTATTGATACCAACCAAATATTCTTTAATGTACTCTACAATTCTCTTTTGAAATTTTCACACAAAGCATGTATCATGATCATTGTCATCACTTAAAAAACAGAATGACTTATGCTGAATACTTGTTTTAGAAAATTCCTTAAAATATATAACAACAGGATCAAGTGTACATTAATGTTTATTCCAATGATAACTTTGTATTTCATCCTGTATAACAAATTGATAGTTCTCTGCAAAATCTGCTTGTATAATACATTCATTGTAACCTAAATTATTTTTTAGTTCTTTCAAATAGTGAGTTTGGCATTTAGCAATATATGAATGTGAAGTTAGTTGATTAATTTGAAAAATAACTAGTTCTTTATATTCAAATAAGTTAACTGTCTGAGTAATTAATTGTGACCTATCAGTACTTTGCCATTGGTTGAATTGAATTTCTTCTTCATCAATTTCAATTAATTCCTCATCTAAAAATGCCTTTAAGTTATCATAACCTGCACATCTATGAACCATGCATTCATTATTGCTTGTATCACATACTAATTTTGACATTAAATCTTTGTATGTAACATTCCATTGGACAGCATTTACAAGCAATGTTAAGTTACACATACACAGTGTGTACCGTTTGGTCCCATACTAATACACCTTTTTGGACGCAAACTACAAAACTTTGAAAATCCTATTTTATAATTAGGGTATTTTAAAATCAATATAAAGCTCATGAAGGTTGCACAACAATAATCTTTTTTGTTGTGGATTTTTTGTTGATTTTTAACCTTGACACAATCTTTTTACCAGGCATAAATCTAGAATGTTTATCTTGTTGAAAAAAATCTTGAACCAACGCTGTAAGAAAGTCAGGTATTTTTTGGCCTATTTTCTTATCAGGTATAGCAAAAATTCCATTTTCACTTTCAAGTATCCTAGCACGTCCTATAAGATGTTCAGAAACTTCAAAATATTCTGAAGGGTATTTTCTAGACCAAGATACAGGTGTAAGTGTTAATACTTGATTTTTTTTTTAAATGGTTCAACTTTAAGTTTTTTTTTCATTTAAGTTGACAAATGATAAAGATCATTTGCTTTTTTTTTTATTTGTAGAATGACTGGAAAAAGTTGAGGCTACACTTAAGTTATCTATATTTACTCCATAAGCACTTGCTACACCTTCTTCCATTTTTGTGTAGGCTTTGACTAATTTTCTCTTTGCTGTTACAACTCGTTGATGCTTTGCGACTTCATGAACTTTAATTGGTGAGACTCCAATTGATATTAAAGAGTTGTCTAACTGTTAATTATTACAAGATTTACCTTTAATAAATAATACATCACCATCAATTTCACAATCCATTTCATTATCAGAAACTTCATCACGATTTGAAAAAAACTGAATACATGAGCGACAAAATTTCCATCCTGGTTTACAGTCTAGATTTTTGGATTTAAAGTTATGAGCCATTTCAAAAGATATGGTTGTTTGACCTAAAATAAAATTTTTTAATTTTTAATAAACATACTCTGTTTCTAAATTTATATATATATATATATATATATATATATATATATATATATATATATATATATATATATATATATATATATATATATATTAACTTTTAAGTGACATTTTTATTAGTATGTGTAAATATAAGCATTCCCAGCAAGCATTTCAACGTTGATTCAACGTTGATTTACAGACGTCGATTTATTCGTCGAATTGGAAACAAAATATCGACGTTGAAATATCAACATTGATTCGACGTCAATAAATCAACGTTGAGCGTACGTTGATTTACAAACGTTGATTTAACCGTTGATTTGGAAACAAGAAATCGACGTTAAATATTAACATAGATTCAACGTCAATAAATCAACGATGAACTTACGTTGATTTACAAACGTTGATTTACAAACAAGAAATCTACGTTGAAATATCAACATCGATTCAACGTCGAAAATACAACTTACGTTTTATAAACGTTTTCGAAAGATAACATTTAAAAAAATTACAAAAAAGTATTTGTTACAAAGTTTAATAAGTGGGGGAAAGTAAGATAGTTTATTTTTATTTTTCGCTACTACTTCCGCTTTTGTTTGATGCAACGTCACATTCTACTTCGCATTCGTCGTCACCTTGATTTATTTCTTCATCGCTTTTGTGAACTTCATCGTTTTCTATTTCGTGGTTGCAAGATTTCCGTTTACCTCCATTCAAACGATAAGGTGCATGTTTTAGGCAGGAGGCAATAAATGACCTAGTTTCTTTGTCTGTTGCTTTAGGCTCACAGCGCTTAATCGATTCTAAAAAATAAATGCAAAAATATCAAATTAGGTCAAGTGAATAAAACTGTAGATAAAGGAAGAAAGAATGTCTTCAATTTACACTATTTAATACGAATACACGAAGTTTACAACTTTAATGTAAACTGATTTAATTTTATTTTTCAGTTTGTTCAAGGAAGATTTTTATATCTACTTTTTGTGAATTCAACTAAATTCATTTATTTTCAACAGGCAGCCTTTAAAAAGAAATATAATTATATAAAAATATAGAGATCAACATTATAGCTACCAATTATTGCTTTGTAAACATTTAACTTTTCCATTGGTAACTTCACAGTAACCTTTCCCTTGGAACCAACTAAATTGAACTTCGATTAAAGTCTGTTTGTCATCAACCTTAAACATGTCAAAAGAGAAACTCAACATTATTTTTCTATAATTAAAAATTGCTTTTAAAAACTAATTTTCTTTGCAAAAATAGTAAGTACTATTGATTTAAAAAATGTTTCAACCTGTTTATCATGTTTGCAACATTTTTTTTACCATTGTTACCGCCAATGGAAGATAGCTAATTAACCTGATATAAAAATAAAACAATATCTATAGGAGCAATGTGGCAATATTGCAAATAGAGCATCTAGATCTTCAATGGAATTTTTAGATAACCGGCCCCGGATTACTAGCTGGGGTTAGATTTTTTTTATAGTATTGTAATCTTTTTCACTGTTTTTGTTTATTTTGTTTAAGCAATTATCTGTTATAAAAGTTAAAGAAAATATTTAAAAAAAGTCATAAGAACATTTAATAAATATTTAGATATTTATTTAATGTATTTATGACTTTTTTTAAATATTTTCTTTAACTTTCATAACAGATAATAACTTGAACAAAATAAAACAAAACAGTGAAAAAGAGTACAATACTATAAAAAAATCTAACCCGGCTAGTAAACCGGGGCCGGTGCCGGGTTTGTAAAAAGCTCTGTTTGAGCCAGGGCCTCTTATCATCATTAGCATCATTTATGTGGATCTCCTAAAAATCTTGACTTCAGGGCGGTTTTGCCAATGAGGAGGGGTGTTTTTTAAAAATACCCACAAATTTACCTATAATGGTCAATTTCAGTATAATAGTCAATTTAGTATAAAATATTTTAAATTTGTATTACTTTGTCGTAAGTATAATATTTAAATATTATACTTATGACAAAATAAATAGATTCACATAAATGATGCTGATGATGATAAGGATAATGATGACAATGATGATGATGATGGTGATGATCACAATGATGATGATAATGCTAATGATCATGATGATGATGATGCTAATGATCATGATAATCATGATGGTCGGGAGTTGATGATATACACATTTATAAAAAATATACTTATAGGATCTATCAATGTAAATGTAGCCATGTTCATCACACAAGATTTTAATGTAATCAACACTATATTTAAATGAAAAATAACTTACAAACTTTTTAAAAACCCTTTTGTCAGCTCCAAGTTTTCGATCGAACTCATATAAAACGTCTATATCATCAAATTGTATTAATATCTCTCCTTCAACATCTTTCATTCTGGTGCCACTAACTGCATCTAACTTTTTGGATATTTCACTCATTTGCAAGGTTATTTGGGCCAACCTCCGTAATACTATATGTTAAAATCCTAAGTTTGAAAACAAAAAGTACTTTATAAATATAATATATATATATATATATATATATATATATATATATATATATATATATATATATATATATATATATATATATATATATATATATATATATATATATATATATATATATTTGAGAGCTGAGCTGCAAGGGGACAGGAATTTCTTCCATCCCCACCTATCTCGCAAACATTTATTGGCCTTTTCCATGACAATAAATGATAAACTTGAATGAATATGTTGCATACAAAACAACAGCAAGTTGAAAGACAGCTGTAAATCACAAATGATATAGTAAAGAAACCTACCATTATCTTCGAGATTTTTTGAGCTTATTAACTCGTCCCGAGCACAAGCAGAATCTCTTCTATTGTAATTAACATAAGATTGAGAAATAACAGCAGATGAATTGGTGGAAACATTGGTGAATGAGCTTTCTAACATACTAGTAATAGTCTGACTGTTTAATGTTGGTTTGCGTATAGAAAAATGATCACATGTAGAAGAGGTAGTAGTTGAAAGAAATGGTATGTGAGCTGTTGATAAAGCAGTAAGTCCAGAATAACCACCATGTATAGAAGAGGTTTGAGTATAACCTTTAGAAACCAATTTAACATTAAAATAGTTTGACATAACATTTATTATAGTAAAAACCATTAATATGTTATTTTGAAAATCTAAAAAAAATTTAAATAATTTTAAATAAATATGTCACTAAGGCAAAAGGTACCAGATGAAATTTTTTGACTTGAATTGTTCCTTTTTGCTTTTTGTGGAACATCTGTATCCGGCGTAACAGTTCCTATGAAATTATATTATTATACAAAAATATTATTATTATACAAGAAAACAATAGTGTTATAAAAATAATCATTTTTGAGTATTATATATCATTTTTACTTATTGGCATTTTCGGTGGAACTGGCTTTGGAATATACTTAATAATTGCATGTCTTTTTTCAGATGAGCTGGGACAACTCTTAATCATCATTTCATTGTTATCCAGTTCTCCAGCTGTCACATTATTTCCATACTCTTCACATACTTCTTTGTCATCATCTAGGATGGAATCAATTAATGTTTACATTGAAAGTCTTATTATAAGGAAAAAACATAATGATGACTGTTATTTATTTAGTAAATTTAATGAGCACTCATTAAATATATAAAAAGACCTATAAATAATTTAAAATTATATCTTTAAAAAATTTATTTTAGAAAGAGACATCAATGAAGTGCTTTAAGAGTATAGTGGGCATTCGTTTAGTCATGCAATTAGTAACTCAATCATTTGATGGAGTTACTAATTTAAGTGATCATCGAAAACAGTGCAAATAAATTAGTCGAATTGAAAGAACCCATAAAAAATAATAATTTTGTGTAAATATTTTTTATAAATAAAAATAAAATATTTTTTAAACACATTTTTATATATTACATCATTTAATATTAATAAATTTTCAATTACCAGTTAGCTTGATGTATTTCAGTTTAAATTGGTACCAATCATCAGTTGGATTGGACATTTTTTTCATTGATGACTCAAAATTTTTATTAGGCCAAAATACTTTGTTACACTTTACCCAGTTTGATGGAAGAGTCTGTTCATATTCCTCTAATGAGCCATCTTTTGCATATTCAAACCATACTGCTCTGGTCAAAGACATTTTGTTTGTGAAATTGACAATTATAGTAAACCTGTTTATGTAACTCAAAAGAAAAAAATTAATCTATTAATAATTTAATATAATAGTGAAATTATTAAAATAAATGTGAAAGAAATTAATTATTATATGTTTTAAATGTATATATATATATATATATATAAATATATATATATATATATATATATATATATATATATATATATATATATATATATATATATATATATATATACATATATATATATATATATATATATATATATATATTTTTTTTATTTGCATTCACTCCCAACAAGGCTGCAAGCAACCACTATTAAGTTGGGAGTTACTAGGAAAAAAAAAAGAACAGAGTTATAGAGCAAGGAAACGGTTGACAGAAGACTTAAAAAGTTGAAAGTTGTATGAGTCAGGGAAACATGAAGATGGGAGAGAGTTCCAAAGGATTGAAGTGCGGGGAAAAAAACTAGAAGAATAAAAATTTTTAGAGCATGCAGGGACAGATACAGTAAACGAATGAGACTAGCTGAATGACGAGTAAAACGAGAATGAATTTTAGTTGATGGAACTAGAGATAATAACTCCTTTGAGCAGTGACCATGATAGTATCTGTAGAAAAGAGAAAGAGATGCAACTTTACGACGATGGGAAAGAAGTTCAAGCTTAGCAGATAGTCCAGGTCCAACAACATTTACAATGCGTTTTTGGACCTTGTCAAGAAGAGAAAGAGAATCGTTAGAAGAACCAGCCCAATTATGACAACAGTATTCCATACAGGGTCGAATAAGAGATTTGTAGAGGTAGAGAATGGAATCAGAAGTAAGGAAATGGCGAGCACGATAAAGAGAAGCAACCTTAGCAGAAGCTAATTTAGCAATCGATTGTATATATGGTTTCCATGAAAGGTCAGTAGTAAGCGATAATCCAAGAAGACGTAAAGAGGACGACTCAGTAAGAGGATTGCCATTCATTAATATAGGAATGTTGACCATATTACGGTAGTTGTTTGCAGTAAGCAATTGGGTTTTTTTAGAGTTGAAATTCACAAGCCACTGTGAACCCCAATCAATTACTAAAGTGAGATCGAATTCAAGATCAGCTGCTTGTTCTAGGCAATCCAAAAGAGAAGACTTTTTGTCAAGACAGGAGTATAAAGTCATCAGCAAAAAGAGCTACTTTAGATAAAAGGTTGTCAGGAAGATCGTTTATGTAGATAAGAAACAAAACAGGGCCCAGGATGGAACCTTGGGGAACCCCAGAAGTTACTGGAAATAAAGAAGAGTGTTGGCTTTCAAGGATGACTTTAATAAACCGGTTAAAAAGAAATGATTTGATAATCTCAAAAACTTTTCCAGAAACACCATATGAAGCAAGCTTATGGAGAAGACCAGCATGCCAAACTTTGTCGAAAGCTTTAGATATGTCGAGAGCAATAGCCCTAGCCTCACCGCCTCCATCTAATGCACGATAAAATCTTTCAGTTACAGCAGTTAGCAAGTCGGCCGTAGAGCGAGAGGATCGAAAACCGTATTGATTGTCTGACAGCAGTTTATTTGACTCAAGATGAGATGTGAGGAATTTGTTGATCAAAGACTCAAAGACCTTGCTAATAACAGAAAGAAGACTGATCGGACGATAATTGGAGGGATCAGAATTTTCTCCAGAGTTTTTAAATATTGGAACTACAGATGCCATTTTCCAACAAGCAGGAAAACAAGACTCAGTCAAACACTTGTTAAATAGTTTAGAGAGAATTGAAGAAAGTTCTGGAAAACAATTCTGCAAGACTGTGACAGGAATGTTGTCTGGACCACAAGCTGTAGACGAGTTTAATTGAGATATGACTTTAGCAACAGAAGCCGTAGTGATTTGAATGTCTAACAATGGGTCAACCTGTTTGACTGGAATGGAAGGAAGAGAATGTCCATAAGATTCAAGAGTGGAATTAGAAGAAAAGTTCTTTGCAAACAGTTCTGCTTTATCCCTGGGAGAGGAAACAAGATCAGTCCCATGAATGAGAGATGGAATGTTAGATCTACCCTTGTTAACAATGCTGTTGAAGATTTTCCAAAAGTCTTTAGAGCCTAACTTCTGCGATATATATATATATATATATATATATATATATATACATATATATATATATATATATATATATATATATATATATATATATATATATATATATATATATATATATATATATATATATATATATATATAATATATATAGTAAAAACAGAAATTAAAACAAAAATATGTAGCTGTAAATTTTACCTTTTTTTGAAATGGCTTCTAATGACTGTATAAATAAAAATATTCTTTTTATACCAGTTGAAAATAAGGAAGTCAGACATATTGATAATGCTAAAATACTAATAGTTAAACTTTTTCTCAGACTAATTGCTTAATTATATAAATGCTTTGTTTATACTAGCTAAAAATTAGCAAAGCAGACATCCTCAATTATTAAATTGCTGCAATAAAACAAATAGTGATAAATATTTTTACTATTATCAAATAATGCAATTTAATTATTATCATCAATTTTTTGTACATATAATTATTGTTAGTTCATTTTTGTTTTTCATTAAAAAAAAAGCGAAAAATATTTAAAAAAACAAAATACTAAAATCTTACTTAAAAACAATGATAAAAAATAAATAAATATAAACATTATTATAATATCTATATTTGTTCATTAATTGGTTTTTTAATTTTAATAGAAAAAATATTATTTGTAATTGAAGACTATAGTACTCAAAGTACTTAAGTCACACAGAAAAAATTAAGAGAAGACACATTTCAATCATTTTATTTATATAGCCTTTTTGTTGTAAAAACTTAAAGTAAATGCATTAAGTAATAATTTATTTTTTCTTTACTTAATTATTATATTTCTTGATTTTTATTTAGTTACTTTGTTTATAAATTTAAATTTTAAAAACAAAAAGATTTTACAAATAAACGATTAAAATATATTTTCTGACAACATTTTCTTAGTGAATTAATACTTTAAGCACTTAGGTCTTCAATTATTATTGGGATTTTTATCTAAGTATTTATAACTTTTTTTTATACAAAACAACTCTTTTATTTAATGATAAATAATTCAAAAATTTACATTGTGGTGTAACGGCACCAACACATACCCATCATTGTATAGAATACCACATACTTTTTTAATAATTAGATCTTTTTTTATAAATTGTTTCTTGAATTGTACATTTTTATGAAGGAAATATATATGCAACAACTTAGAACAACACGGATCATCAAAAAACCCATCCAAATCAGATATTTGATAGACATAGCATTCTATATCATTACCAATGACATTATTTATACGCACTACTTTTTCTCCACGAATGAAAAACCATCTATTTTTATTTCCAATTGAAATCTTAGTTTTTGATTGTTGTTTGCTTCTTGTTACACAACATTTCTCTATCTCCTCTATTCTTTTTGTCAATTGTGACAAGGGACTTTGTGCCTTGCGCACATAAGATTTTAGAATGCCTAGATAGTTTTCAAAAGGAAAAGCAGATAAATCTTGTAAACTGCAGCTGTGGTTGACCACATCTTCATACAGATGTGTCAAACTATGAACATAATAAGTAACGAATTCTTGTCCATAAAGAAATGATGACCGATATACAAACCATTTCAAGAGCCCTTTTGCATACATTAACAACTTGTGATCATTCAAAAGATGATTATCAATCATTATACTCATAGCAACTGATAAACTTAAGAAATGTGTATATATTTCTTGAGAAACTACATTTTTTAAAACAATCATACTGGTATATAAAAGAAAATTTTTGAACTCTGTAGCTTTAAACTCATCAATACCTCTTGGTTGTCTTGCAAACTCGCTGGGCAATTTTCCTGATAATTCTCTAAGTTTTTCAGAAATAACTGCTTTTTGAATCTCTGATATCCTGCATGATCTTTTACCTTTGTTAAAAAAAATTATTATTTTTTTAGTTACTCCTAAATAAACCAAATGCATGATATCTAAAACAAATGATGTAACACATGGTATATTATATTTAGCTAGAGTACATAAAGTTTTTTGGTGTTCTTTGTAACCGTGTAGGTTTAACTCTGTATCATTTCTCAGAGTATATCCTGACCCCAAAAAAATTTGTGTGTGATTAATACGTGCACCATGAATAATACATTGTTCACACGAATCGTATCCATTATGGCTAATTATAGACTTCAAAAATTGTTGAGCTGGAGCATCACAACAAAATGATTTAAGGGAAACTAAGTAATGTTTATATTGAGTTTTGATTCCATTTTGTAATAAATTTGTTAACTCGTTTACAAAATCAAACATAAAGCTTTCTTCAGATGAAGGTTTGCTCTTACCACAGAAAATAGCTACAGCAAAGGGTTGGATACTTGAAAATGAGCAAAGTATGGGCCATAAAGCTACTGATGTGCTTTTAAATAATGGTATTCCATCAACATTAACAACTAATTCAATTTTCGCAAGATTTGGAAATTTGCTTAAATGTTTTAAAATATTAGTTCCAAACCATAATAAATGTTATCGCCACCACACTTATTCTTTAGAGGAATGTTACTTGGAGTTTTCAATAATGTTCTTACATCTTTTGGAAGCTCTGTGTGGCCATTTTTTCTCAAAATAAAAAGAAGTTGATTTGTTGCAGAATGTGAAGTTTGGTTTACAACAACCCATTCTGCTAATTCTTCACGTAGATTTCCATTTATTATTTTGTCATCTATAAAGTTTCCATGATTCAAGAAACAAGAATTAGAATCAGAACTATCGGAGACTCCGGCGGAGTCAAGATCGGAATCTGAGTCGAAATCTGTTTCTTCAACACCTTCAACTTCTTGCTCAATTGATTCTTCGGAAAGAACTCTATAATCTGAAACATTTATTTGTTGTTTATCTGTTTCTATTGTACTATCTGTCTCAGTAAATAATTCAATTACTGATTTATTAATTTTTCTCCATTGCATAATCCGTGATGACATAGCAACTAAATACTTTTATTCCTAAAAATAAATAATTAAATATATTTATATTAGGGTGTTAGCCAGGAATATATTTCATACAGATTTTTTGAAATTGTCATATATATATATATATATATATATACATATATATGTATATATATATATATATATATATATATATATATATATATATATATATATATATATATATATATATATATTAATATATAATAATTGTAATATATAGATGTAATACCTGAAGAGAATTTAGTTTTTATTTGTATAAACTTAAGCCAATTCTTCTCTGCATTTTAGTGCAGTCAATGCTTTGGTACCTGGAAGCCGACAAACAGTTTAATCACTAATCCAAATAGATGGAATTACTTCTTTTTCTAAATCTTCATTCCAAACAGCTCCTTTCCGCATATTCGATTTTGAAAAAATTACATGAACTAATATAAAATGAAGAAACCATAATATAATTGTACTAACAGGCCTAATTAAACTAGCTAAATTTGAACATTTTATAACCATGATACTTGCTAAACAATAATATTAGTAGACATTATTAACAAAGATAAGATTTTCTTTATTTTATAAATTTATTGTAATTTAAACTCATTTTTATTCATTTATTTATTACTCTATTATTCAGCAGAGTTCTGAATATATTATGTTCAAATAACTTAAGGCTCAATAACAAAGACGTATAATGAAAGAACACTAGGTTGCTAAAACATAAACATCTACATAAGATAATTATAGAATATTGAAAAAAAATACAAATACAAAAAAACAAAAATACTCATTATTAATATAAAATATATATATATATATATATTTTAATTATCTTCGCTTCCAAAAAGGCTGCAAGTAACCACTAGTTAGTGTTGGAAGTTACTGGAGGAGAAAAGATGAAGATTAGAGAGCAAGATAACGATTGACAGACGACTTAAAAGATTACAAATTATATGAATCAGGAAAGCAAGATGAAGGAAGTGAATTCCAAAGAACTGATGTTCGAGAAAAAAAACTAGACGAATAAGAGTTTTTGGAACACTTAGGAACAGTAAAAGAAAAAAGATGAGACTTGATTGAATGACGAGTAACACGAGAATGAATTTTAGTAGATGGCACAAGAGACGCTAGCTCCTTCGAGCAGTGCCCATTATAGTATTTGTAGAAAAGAGAAAGAGAAGCATCATTACGACGATGTGACAGAGGTTGAAGGTTGGCTGCAAGAGCAGGTCCAACTATGTTTACAATGCGTTTTTGCACCTTGTCTAAAAGAGAAAGGACATCATTAGAAAATCCGCCCCAGATATGACAACAGTATTCCATACAAGGCCGGATTTGAGATTTATAGAGATAGAGAATAGAATTCAGAGTAAGAAAGTGACGAGCTCGATAAAGAGAAGCAACTTTAGCAGATGCTAATTTTGCAACGGATTTGATATAAGGTTTCCAAAAAAGATCAGAAGTAAGAGTTAATCCTAGAAGATGAAGGGTAGGAGATTCATTGAGTACATTACCGTTCATAAATATAGGAAGGTCTAAATTATTGCAATAACAATTGGCCGAAAATAAAATTGAGTTTTATCTGGATTAAAGTTCACCAGCCACTGTGAGCCCCATGCTGTAGCAGAAGTGAGATCCTTTTCAAGCTCAGATGCCCCCTGCAAGCAATCAGAGGGAGTTGGCTTTTTGTCGTGACAAAAATAAATGGTAGTATCATCAGAGAACAATGCCACCTTAGATGTGAGGATATCTGGAAGATCGTTAATGTAAATTAAAAAGAGTATAGGGCCAAGGATTGAACCTTGCGGAACCCCTGAGGTTACAGAATAAGAAGAAGAGTGCTGTCCATCAAGGACAACTTTTATACTACGATTGGAAAGAAAGGATTCGATAATCTTAAAGATGTTTCCAGATACACCATAAGAAGAAAGCTTATGGAGAAGACCAGCATGCCAAATTTTATCAAATGCTTTAGAAATGTCAAGAGCGATGGCCTTAACCTCTCCACCTTTATCTAATGCGCGATAAAACCTATCGGTTATTACTGATAGCAAATCAGCCGTAGAACGAGAAGGTCGAAATCCATATTGATGATCAGAAAGTAGGTTATAAGATTCGAGATGAGATATTAAGTGCTTGTTAATTAAAGATTCAAAAACCTTGCTTATGATAGGAAGAAGACTAATGGGACGGTAGTTTGATGATTCAGATCGCTCTCCAGAATTTTTAAAAATAGGAATAACAGATGCTGCTTTCCAGCAGGATGGAAAATAAGACTCTGATAAGCACTTGTTATATAGTTTTGAAATGATAGACGACAGCTCCGGAGAACACTTCTGCAAGACTTTAACAAGTATGTTGTCCGGGCCGCAAGCTGTAGAAGAGTCTAAGCGGAAAATCACTTTAGATACAGAAGCTGGAGTGATACGAATGTCGAGCAATGGATCAACCTGTTTGACGGCTATATCAGTTAGAACCCAACTAGTGGAATCAAGAGATGATATTGATGAAAAGTTCTTGGCAAACAATTCAGCTTTGTCTTTAGGTGAGGTGACAAAGTCTAAACCATACAAAAGAGGTGGAATTACAGACTTGCCCATATTATTGATACTATTAAAGATTCTCCAGAAGTCACGAGTGCCTAATTTTTGTGATGAAATACGAGATTTCATGATCTGAGAATAGCGAGCTTTGGCGTTAGACAAAACCTTTTTACAATGGTTCCTAGCAGTAATAAACAGACGTCTGTTTTCTGGAGAATTGTTTTGCTGATAGATATGAAAGTAATGGTTTGGATTGGCAATTGCAGCAGCACAATATGAGGAAAACCATGGAGAAGAGTGAGGCTTGACCTGGAATCGTCGAGAGGGAATAAAGGATTCCATGCCAGCCTGAATCCACGAAGTTATGTAAAAAGCACATTTGTTAACAGGGAGACGAAAGATTTCTACCCAGGGGCCATCACGAAAAAAATCACGGAAAGAGTCCCAGTCAGCTTTAAGGTAGTTGTAAGATGTACAATGATAGGGAGATTCTGATGGTAAAGAAGAATGAGATAATAGTCTTAGAGAGACCAAACCATGATCAGACGCACCTAAGGGTTAGTGTGAAGAAACTGAGCACTGACTAGGATCAGAAACAAGACATAAGTCGAGTAGAGAAGGTAAATGATTCGGGTTGTCTGGAAAGCGAGTTGGAAAGTTGACTATTTGAGTTAGGGATTGAGAAAAACAAAAGTTGTGGGTCTTAATGCCTGCAGAGTCACTGACACTAGAGCCAAGCCATTCAAGTTGATGAACATTAAAGTCACCGACTACAACAATATTGGCTGATGGATAAAGAATGAGGGCTTGGTCAATATAATCAGAAATAACATCAAGAAGAGTGCAGTCTTGAGATGAAGGAGAGCGATATAGAACAAAGAGAAAAGTGATTAAGTGAAGTAGTGCTAAACGAAAGCACATAAAAGAGTAGCATGTGGATTCAAACCTAGTTTCCTGACAAATGGGTGAATTCTTACGAATGTAAATGCCCAGGCCAAGCATGTGACTATTGGAGTCTTTACGAATTAAAGGAAGATAACCATCAACACTAAGATTACAAGAAGAAACAGCTAAACTCAAATTAGTCTCACAAAGAGAAAGTAGGTCTGGTGAACTTTGCAAGAGGTAAGACTCAATAGAAGAAAAGTTACTTCGAAGACCACGAATATTGGTGAATGATAGGTTTAGCGAACTTGGTGATGACTGTGGTTTTTTGTGTTTTATAGTTTTTGTTACTTTATTCATTTTTAGATTTGTTAAAGAACTTGACTTGAAACATAGATAGTACTCAGTACACTGTTTTATAGCTCAAGCAATTGCCTCATTTCCACTAATAAACCCTAAGCCGTAACAAAGGGCTCCAATGTGGCTTTGGCAATGCACACCAAAAGTACAAACAGGGACACCATCCATGTGCATCATGGCACTGTTAGTACTCTGATATTTTTCAGCTGTTGATGGAATCAGCCTCTCTGAGTGCTACCACAGAGTTCGGGAAACTTGACTAGCAGCCGGCCTCAGAACCATAAAACTGAGTTTTAGAGCTGTACCCTCATTTGGAGATAATATAATGAGTTGCCTAGTCATAAAAATCCAGCGTTCAACATTCTAAACTGGAAACAATTTATTAAAAATACATCTGCGCCAGCCTAATAGATGATATAATAGTATAATATAAGGTATATAATAATATATGACACAATAATATCTACTTTTAATTGAAATATAAAAACAACAAAAATTAAAAAAGAAAATATTTTGATAAATAATAAATTATCATTCAAACAATTTTCAAGACCAAAAAATAACTTGTAACTTATTTTTTTACTTATCTTTGTCTAATAAACAAATTATTTTTTACTCTTCTTCATCTAATAAACATTAATATTAATACCAATTTTAAACATTATTAGAATATTTTTTTTATCAAAAAATAAAAATAATACATCAGTTACTTTTTGGGCTTTTCCTATTTTACTTAAAACATCAACTCAATTCTAGGCTTTTTTTATGATTAAGTTTTAATTTGTAATGTTGATTTAACACCGAAAAAAAAATATTAGCAAGACAAAAAGAAAATATTTCTTTATTGAAATATATGTAAATATTTCAATAAAGAAATTTTAGATTGATTTTTATAAATATAAATTTATATCAATCAATCTAAATTTTTTTCTTTTCCGCCACCTTTTCGAAACGAAGCGCATTTTTAGAAGTTAGACAAAATGCCATCAATTAAAGTTTCAGTCGCTCCATCGTATTTAATAGAAGAAGCTGTTAATAAAAAGAATTAAAAAAAACAAAAAAAAAACACAAGGAGAAACTTTTGAATATATAAAAAATGAGAATAAAAAAGTTTTACATATCTTATATAGGTATACCTTTCACGATATAAATTAGTGCTCTTAAAGCATATTTCCACCTTTCCCCTTCATATTCATGAAGATCACAAAATTGTTGGAAAATATTCTAAATTTTAATAGATAAGAGAACTGA